GTATTTATCATTTTCCATGATGCCCTCTATATATTCTTGGTTCTACCATGGATGGACCTCTGTGTCAAAACCACAAGACAGTAATAAAATGATCGAGCCACTCCATCATGTCTCTTAAGATACTGTGTTTGTGCCAAGGCTGGGCATCCATTGACATTGTCTTAAACAAACTCATTAAATTCATTACACAATCTACATTTCATATTTACATTTTGATGCACAATCACACATTGACTGTTTCGAGTGGGAAGTGACTGGTCCTAAGCCACAAACAGAAAGCCTTATGTGTAGCTTTTCATGCAAACCGACCTCATCCAAGCACAGGACTCTGCAGGGTAGCTAACCTTCTCAACACACTGCACATAAACTCAATGCAGTGGTTGTTCAGATAGCCTCTCCTTTAAAAACTGAGTCTGGGTCGATTTGATATGGCACTTCACTTGGTTGACACTCATTTCTGTACTGTCCAGCAGTAAGAACCATCAACAAAATCAACACCGACATTGAGATTATGTCCCACATTCAAGGCTCGTTTACGAAAACTGTGGAAAGAGGATCGTCAGACAAATTAATGTGTGCAAAAGTGCACAAAACAATTCTATCATGAAGAGCCCCAACGTTACTCAAACCACGCCTCTCATAATGATTGGTAAATATAAGCAATTATTATTATTATTCGGTGAATGAAGCCAGATAAGTGAAAATATTCAATTTCCATACTGAAATGTTTTTGTCGCATATGGTTACTTCTTTTGTAGTTGGTGTATTTGGGTGTAAAGTTCTATTAATATGCATGTAGGTTTTGAAGAAATCTCATGGTTAATTACCACCCAGTAGGATACTCTATGATGGCTCTTAAAACAGCAATTTAAACATCATTTGTGATCAACATTAGCACAATTTTTGCACAATGCACACTGTATACTACAGACAACAGATCCATACGTGTTCCTGGCTAGCATTTGAACTGCGTGGCTGTGAGAAGTGTTCAAGGTTTATTACAAGGAGACATTTATTACAAGCAGCAACCAAATGTGTAGTAGACGACTAAAATTTCCGTGTAGTTGTATGTTTTATTATGTAACTATTTTTGTCAAACCTAGGATAGTTGGTTCAGGTACCTAATGAAAACTGACCATTTAGACAAGGGTGACCTGTATTTATAGGGTATTTATTTTCACGTTTGGTTGTCATGGGGATATATTTATTTCCATAAAAAAAAATAAAAAATTTACAAAGCATAATTATGTACTAGAAGGTGAGACATTAAAAAAGGCAGAAGAATCTAAGAAAGATAAAAATATAATTTTGTAAATGGCTATTGATATTTTGTTAATCTAGTGTTGAAGTATATGGAATGACAAGAGTATGTGATATTACATGTGTATATAACATTACCAGTATATGACTTTGCAAGGGTATATTACATTGCTGGTATAATCAGCGCCATTATTGAAAGGTCACTAATGTAAGATGTGTAGGGTGTCATTTTCCAACCAGCAACACTCTCTCTCTCTCTCTCTCTCTCTCTCTCTCTCTCTCCCTCTCTCTCTCTCTCTCTCTCTCTCTCTCTCTCTCTCTCTCTCTCTCTCTCTCTCACTAGGGGTTCAATCCCTGGATGTGTCATACCTAAAGACGTTAAAAGATGGTGCTTGTTGTTACCCTGTCTGGCGCTCGGCATTCAGGGCTAGTCAGCTTGGAGTCAGTATACTGTGTCTGAGTAGGGTATTCATGTTAAACTGTCGCATCTCAATGGGCTAGCACTATAAAATTGGCATAAGTCCAGATTAGTACAAGCAGCCACACACACACACACATGCATGCATGTCGCTATATAAGTGCAATAATCTTGTTGCGACACTAAACCCCATTTCACCTCACCACCTTACCTGTAATTAGGGTATGTGAAAGGAGGGTTCCTTATCATTCTAACAAACATCTTAAATGCTTAAACAATAAACTTTGTTCTTAAAAGTAACTACAAGATAGACTTTTCCTGCATGTTTGTCAAATAGTTCTCTCAGTGAATTTGTGTATTTTGTTTGAATAAACTGCAACAAAGTGTTTTCAGTATAAATAAATCAACTGCATGAAAACCATTGCTAAATGCTTAGTTGGTATCACGTGTAACTACCATAAAACAAATAAATAACATCCTGTTATACTGGTTCCAATCTACAGTCATTCAAAAGACGAATCCTTGTAGAAGTTGCATTAGGCGTCTTCAAATGTATTATGGTTATAAAATCTTTTTTTGTATGTGCCAATTATTCCGGTAGTAGTTTAAGATATTTCCAGTACGTTCTTGGATCAGTATAGTGTTATATATGAGTCTGAAGCCTCTCTTTGTGTCAAACTGTGTGGACATTGGAGGATTTACTGCCACATCGCCCCTCATTCTCAACCGAGAGTGTGTCTTGAGTAAATTCATAATTTACAACACTCTCTTTTGCGTTATCATGGCTTGTCACGCTGTTGTAATCTAATGCCAGTTTAATTTGCTTTGTCAAAAATGTTTGGATAGTTTCACATTTAATTGAAGAGATGCTCTCTATATATGAATAAATCACTTGGATACATGTGTGAAAAATTGAGGTATGCTGGTGTCTGTTTAATCAAGTCTCTTCTAGTTTTGTTAAATATGAAATTGTAGATATATTGTCGCAATTGTTTTCATTGTTGATAAAGACTGTTTGAGTAAGTTATCAGTTTAAAGGAAACATTTTTAATGTCAAGTAATGAAAGAGGATATTATTCCAGTTCAAACAATTACAAAAGTACATGAAATATATATGGTTTTCGCCTTACAAAGTAAGCTAAGATTAACAACAAAGTTTAAGAATGTCAAACTTTTATTTCATGTTTTATTAAATTTATTGGCCAATCTGAAATCGATAAGGCAAAAAGCGTAATAGACTTACTGCAGATTAACAACCAATAAAACAAACAGTAAGTTATTAACATAAGAGTTAAGGATATTTTGAAAATGCTTATTTTTCAAATTTTCAAATCGAGATTACTTATCAGTAGATTGTTGAATTATAACAAACTTTTAATTGATTTTTTTAATTAACACGTGAATGAATTAGGTGTACTCATCAGTAGAAATAGGAAAAGAATCAACATAAAAAGATATACAATCAAAGCAAAAAAGGCTGGAAATGGATGACCAGCCATCTTTCCTCCCAACCACACCTCAGCTGTACGTAGTTAGGAATGATTTCTATTTACTGTTTTTGTATATCTTGACTGTTTCCATCTCGGAAGTGTATCCAAGCCTTAACAAACAACCTTTATGCCCAGTTTATCGCTGATATGAGAAAGGTATGAACCTGATACCAGTTTTCCTTTCTTTTCTGTGAAAACAGCCAGATTGATATATATATATTACTTCTCGTGATCAGTTCTTCATCTCATGGCAACACATCTGTCAGCCATTTTCAAACACCTGTGAGGTTCAACTGAGATCAACCGTCTCATTGAGGCTTGATCATTGTGAAAAATGTGTTGCATATATTTATATTTCATCACTTAATTTATACGTTGGATTCAAGCATATTTTTTTGCTTATTTTTATACCTTTGCATCTAATTTTGTTTAAGTACTTTGATTGGGGTGTTTCTTGTAAGACATCCTGTTTTTTGTTCGAAGAACATGTGAAAAATGTCTTCTAAAGACGACCACAGGAAACGACGTGACGTTTTTTAACGTATGTTTTATTTTTTTAATCTATGTGCTGGATATGATATAAAACATAAAAAGACATAAATGCTTTTCGCATATTTTTTACCCGATAATTTCATGCAGATTATTTTTATTAGATGCATCGAAATGACGGAAATTATTTTCCCAAATGTTCATACTTCTGGTAATCACACAAAAACAGTTATTCAAGTATGTAGCTGGGAAACAGATGTCATGTGATGACATGCTTATAGAGTCATGTTAGCAGGAGTGGTGAAGGGATGGGAGGGGCGGGGAGGGGCGGGGCGGGGCAGTATGTGGGTGGAGTGTGAGGGTTGGAGGAGGTGAGGGTATGTGGAGGAGGGGTGGATAAGAAGATAGGAGTGAGTGAGCAAGGGCGTGGTTTAGTTGTGGAGGTAGTCAGACACTCTTCTCCTTTTCAATGCTAATTTGCCTCTGTTGTATGTAGCAACATCTGTTGTGTGAGATGTCCTGGAAAAACCATTACCCTATCTCTGATTAATTACTAAAGCACATCCATACAATTTCTTGTTAATCCCTTGTGTGAAGTTTTTTAATAGTCTTGGCTCATTCCTGTTGATACTTAATCACTGAAATGATTCTTGCTCGTCTTCATTGCGGATGCAAATTAGAATCATTGAAAAGGCAATATCTTTAATTAAAATATTAACATAAGCATTTTATGATGATTGTTATTACTTCATTATTGACCTCAAACACATTTAGTTTATATCGCCTCTTTGAAATTAGTCTAAATATAGAGATTATTGGTACCAAAAGTCATGAATATTGTGATGAGGGGCTAAAAAACATATTACTTCTGAACTCAATTACAATCTCAAATATAGTCTTCTACAAAGTAGCATTAATTTATCAAAACATAATATATAGAATATCTAAAAAGCACTAAAAGTATTTTTAATGTGTATGTCAATTATGATGAAATGTAGCAGTTAGCTCATCATCTCCTAAAACAGAACACGCACGATCTCCGGAAGCACATTACAAGAAATGAATTGATTATGCACACATAAACTTATTAATCTGCATGGTTACGTTGATACAGAAATAAAGAAATTACATGCTGTGTCAGATTATAGCTTGATCTAACACTGCAGGCAGTAAGTAGGCTGACAGATGTAGCCATCAGCAGCATATGTATCATGAGTACATTGATCAAATAATCTAATATGGAAATGTGATCATGATGATGATCATCGTCGTCGTCATCGTTATCGTCGTTGTCGTCATCATCATCATCATGTATGAGATATAATTATAATTATGATTCTTACCTGATGGGCATGTGCTCCACAACAAACCCAGGAGCGAAAACGTCACACATAATCCCTGAATTGGCCACATTGGATCTGATGAGGCAATCCCACACATAGCTTTGTTCACATCACGGGACCGTCACTAGTTATCCGTTAAGTATCTTACATCAAGAGGATGGTACACCCAATTTGGTGGTCGCAATCGACGCATATCGGTTCAGTGTCCTCAGCCGTCGTCGTTCACAGACATTGTATCCAAAAGTTTGTGTCGATGTTCGTGGATTTTCCCGCACTGGAGGTAGTACGTGCTTCTGCCAAGTATCGCTCTTTCCTCGTGTACAATTCACTACTCCCTTGACATCACTAATTACAGCGCTTGACTCTGCAGTATCCCTTGGTCCAGCTCATCCATAGACTCACCCTTGTGTAGAATACCACTGGTCTGTTTTTCACAGAACCTGCACAGAGAAACTGACAGTTAGATGAAAGCTTCCCACTAAAAATACCTCATACTTTTTGCAAGAGAAAATTAGAGGGTATGGTTATTCAGCAATGTATATTGTTTAGATGAGCAGGTAGAAATGTTGTTTTGTAGTATAGAATGTGCTGCAGTTCCTTGTTAGTAAGGGGTTTATCTTTACACAAACCACCTGCTTGGAAGTGGACAAGCAAAGAGTTAATATGGTGTTTGTTGGACGTACTCCAGCAAAGCCACGATGGTAGTGTGATAAGTGTTGGAAAAATAGTTCACATGTTACATACAATAAGCTATGGTGATGAAATATGTGAAAATTGTTGTAGAATCTGTAACTATGGCAATAGGTCTTGTGTTTATTTTCAGTGTAGAACAGATTGAGTGGTGCAACACATTTTTAGAATTCATCACATGTTTCGGAGTCATTTTGTTCATGAGGTATTTTTGTTCAATATCTTTGCTTGTTTCTGGCAATTAATCTTGTGTTCATTTTCAGTATAAAACAGTTTGAAACATAACACTTTTTTAAAAATTAATACATGACTCATATTGGCCATAAGAATTATTTTGTACAGCATCTTTACTTTCTTTTGCATAATAATGGCAAATTATTTTTGTTCTTCGTATTCAAGTCTTTGATTATAATTCAAGAAGCATAGAAAGTGAAACATATTTCAAAAACTCATGACAGATGTAAATTATCATTAAGCAGATGAAAGCCTTACGAGTTCTAAGACAGATTAATTTTCTTTGGGAATGCAGACTTTCTGACTTTCTGCAATGGTGAGAAATTGTTACATCATCTGATAAGCATTAACATGTTATAGCACACCAAACAACAAGTGAGGAGATAGTTATAAAAACAAATTTCAAAACTTTGTCCAGTGAATGTTGTTTTACACCTTGTAGCAAGATTCCAGCAATATCAATATCATGTACCCATGTGGGGAATAAACCTAGGACTTTGGTGTAACAAGCAAATGCTTTAACCACTAGGCTACTCCCAACCGCCCTGCTTCATTTTAAAGAAGGCATGTGAAAATATAAGATAATACTATTTTTGCATTAACATTCATTTAGGAACAGAAGACAAAACAATGGTAAAACCATAGTTAAAGAAGTAACAATTGCATACAATTGAAAACAATAATGAGTTGCTAACAGTTTTGTTGAATGTGGGGTTTTTTTATTGAAAAGTTTTGAAAGGGTCATCGTGTAATCGTGAATATAAGGTAGTGTATTTTGATTATTGTGGCTAAATGATTATTTGACATCAGATGTGGGAAAACATAGTATCATTCATATTTCTACATTTGGCATCATGAAATAGTAATACTTCTTTTAAAAAATATATCTGTTTCTCAAGGGTATACAAGTTACAGTTTAGAACATAATGTTTACTGCCATTTCTAGATCATTATGACAAAATCATTGTAGAGCTGTTGCTAGTTTGGTTTGTCACTGTTGTCAAAGTTTAAGATTAATATCATAAGTCATAGTTTTATAAAGTTGACTCTATATTATTCATGATATACAGACCGCCTCCGTGGTCTTGTGGTAGAGCGTCCGCCCAGAGAGCGGAAGGTCCAGGGTTCGATCCCGGGCCGCGTCATACAAAAAGACGTTAAAAGATTGTACTTGTTGTTACCCTGTCTGGCGCTCGGCATTAAGGGGCTAAAACAAGGACTGGTCGGCTCGGAGTCAGTATACTGTGTCTGAGTGGGGTATTCATGTTAAACTGCGGCATGGTATCTCAGTGAGCTAGCACTATAAATCGGCATCAGTCCGGACTAGTACAAGCAGCCACACACACACATACACGTGCATGCACGTCGCTATGTAAGTGCAATAATCTTGGACGCGACGTTAAAGCCAATTTCACCTCACCTCATGATATACAATATGATTACCAGTGAATAATCTCCATTTTCTGCCAAAATTATAAAAATGGCTCACTGAAGACAATGGGTGTTCGTGAAAAGGGTAAGCATGTCCTACTCATACAAATGGACAAGTTTGGTTCAAGTGTTATGCTACTGTTGCAAAACAAAACCGTTTCCTGTTCATTTAGTGATAGGATTATCTTGCAGGAACTCTCTATTACTGGGAATGGTTTTAAACTGTTCTCCATAAATAGTTCTTCTTGTTGGGTCATTGATGATCAGTATTTGCCAGATGTGACAAAATGTATCTCTTAGATTGACGTTGAAGCTTTTTGATGAGTATTTCAAACTGCAATGTTTGCTGCCGTTATTTTCAAACCTTGCTTGAAGCTTCAACTCCAACTTCCTTTAAATGCAATGTTTGGTTTGCTTATATAAAGGTGCTCTGTTAAGACAGTGTTTACTTTAGTTAGAAGCTGGTGTTTAGCTGGTATTGAAGACAGAATTTTGTTGACAGAATGTTTATGTAACCCTGAAATGGTGCACGGTTTCCCAACTAAAACCACATTTACACAGGGTAAAAAACAGCTCATAAAATCACTCCAGAATGGAAAGTATTCAGTTTGGAGACTGTTGTTGAAAGGTTGTCCAGTATAAGCAATGTTTAGTCTAGTACTACAGAGTAATATGCTTCTGTGAGTCATGTTTGGTAAATGTTTGGTAAATGTAAGTAAAATTTACACAAGCCAGATAATGACCCAAACCATTTTGAAATCACAGAGCCATATAATTATTCCAACATAAGTTTCTACACGAACACTGTTGGTTGACGAGAAAGGTACACTTTGGTTTCACCTGCTTTCATGCACGCCAAAACACTGATGAATGTTTTCATAATTTACACTTTTTTTCCTTTTTCTCAAGTTTTATTTCTCCCCAAACTACTCGAACATTCCCTTGCAAGAAATGTGACAATATCGCTGAGAAAACATTCCTGTTTGGTAATAAAATTATAGAATTTATGTTGCGTAGATAAACAGTTTTCTCAAATGTTTTTTCCGAGCAAGTGACAAATCTGAATTTCAAACCAATTTTCCAAGTGATTTAATTCATTTTGATTACCATAAGTTGAATAAGAACACATTGGCATGTTCTAACAATATTTGGATGATATATATGTACCAAGTGAGTTTCCTTTAAGTCAGAATTCCCATTTGTGAAATGTAGGATGATGTTTTGGATGCTATGGGTTACTTGTGTGATAAAATCATACATGCTAGATTTCATCAATCACCCAAAAACTAGGTACAGTGGATGGACTCCTTGATCTTGGATTTATGGCTTTCAAGTACATAGTTGGCACCGAATCGCAGGAATCACCAAAATATAGCTTCAGCATTAATTTCGGCCGGAATTGGTCACAAATTGAGTTATCAGACCTATAGTAAAATGTCCATCAGTTTATGGGCAATCACCATCAGACAATAATGAACAAAAAACTGTCCCCTAGCAACCATCTTATTGCCACTGTGTATAACACTGTGTAACTGTATGTGATAAGCAGTGTTATGATTGTATGTGTTCTGGAAGGGTCTATACGGGCATATTTAGTATTTAATCACAACTAAAGCAGATATGGTTCAGTTTTATGCATACTGTTGTCATTCAAATATCGAGACCACTGTTATTTATTGGGGTTATTTTATCAGTGGTGTATTCTGAACCACATTTTTTACTTCTGGACATAACTGAAATTTGGATCAGTTATAAGCCCAAGACAGATTGAAAGCAAAGAAATGTTGTTGAAATATGATCATGTGTATTTTAAACACTGACTATAATGAAGAAAAACATGACAGATCTATCAAGAATGTACTGGATAAAAACCCTTTGAATGCAGTGATGAAATGTGTTAAAATGAAATTAAAGTGTAAATATGGCAAATGAATCTATTTGGTGAAAAGTGTTTGTTCTTTGGTTACAATTTTTACAAGTTACATTATAATATAGTGTGTGGAATATACTAGTCAATGTTTGATAGGGATATTCTATATTTCATATGATACACAAACTGAATAATAATAATAATAATAATAACAACAATAATAATTATACTACTAATACTACTACTAATAATAATAAAAAGAAGTTACAAAACCCTTTCCTTTAGAAATCTCTGCATGAAGCAGCGTCAATAGTATGATTTCGACTACCGTTTTATCATAAGCATGTCGAAAGTTCATAAGGAAGGATTCAATTTCTCAATATCCCTATCAAAGGATGAGCAGTATATTATAACACACAGACATCTTCTGAGGATTGTTTGGTGTTGGTCCATCACTATACCCATGCTGGTGGGTTTCGCCAGTCATCTGTGAACTAGACCCCGTGAAGATCCAGGTGACAATCGGCCTTCAGCAACCCATCCCTGACATAAGAGGCGACAGGTGGTCAGACTGGCTGACTTGGTTGATGCATGTCATCGCATCCCAATTGTGTAGAATGATGCTCATGATGTCTCAATTAGTTTTGGACCGCCGTCATATAGCTGCAGCATTAAAAAACAAAGAAACAAACATCTATGGCCTCTCTAGCTGTGACAAGACAAGGGAGTTAGCGGGCTATATAAGTTCACTTTCCACCCTTGCCGAAGTAGTTATAATTTGGCTGGTCTAATAAGTCTATGCGTAGTCCAATCAAAATCACTCAATGAAATCAACATCCAGTTCCTAAACTGCAGTTGATTGCAAGATTTGCAAAGCATATGTACAATCAACTTAGCATCAACAGATGTTTTCCAAATCATTTCATGGTTTTATTCAAGGTGCTGACATGATTTGATGCACTTCGCAAAGTAAGACCCATTTTATTACAATATAGATCTTGCTTATTGATCTGATCACCTTCATTGGGCACCGCCATTTTGTTTGAAGCAAATGCAATGATATGAGAGGTGGAATCTGATTGGTCAATAAGAGGGACATCGAAGGGACATAATTCGTAATAGTTACTTGTCGAACGATCGAACCCCAAAGTTCCAGCCTAGTTTGGCAAGGGTGGAAACTGGACTTTTACAGTCAGTTAACTCCCTTGTCTCAGG